AGATTCCTAGTCCTGGTGTTTGTGATTCTTGCTGACCCATCCTCCATTGGAGGGAGTATATCCCTACCTATCTAAGCATCCTGCAATTATGTCACACTTTGAGTTGTTTAACTATAATAAAAACTTGCTGAGGGACTTCCTGTGTCATGCTTTGTATCTGCCCATAGAACAGACTGGCACAAAGCAGCCCCTCAAATATTTGTCGAACAAGTGAATGAGTTTGAATACCAAGGAGATGGTGGCTTTGGTGTCTGTGCGTGTGAAGGAGCAAGTAGAGTAGCGGAAATTAAGTGACCAGGCAAACTCCTTAATGAATGAGGTAGGTCTTCAGGCTGTTTTCACATTGGATTTTATGGGCGTTCTTTGGAAAATGCACTCCTTAAGTTTCCTTCCATCGCTAAGAGTTTTACTCAAAACCTTCTCTACCAATGCTTGTTCTGCTCCTTACACCTCTGAATAAGCCCTCTCATGTGATTTCCCTAGAATGTTAGCACTTTAAAGTACCATCTTTTAGGGCGCCTGGGTGGCTCAGTTGGTTAAGCGACTGCCTTCGGCTCAGGTCATGATCCTGGAGTCCCGGGATCGGGTCCCGCATCGGGCTCCCTGCTCGGCGGGGAGTCTGCTTCTCCCTCTGACCCTCTTCCCTCTCATGCTCTCTCTCTCATTCTCTCTCTCAAATAAATAAATAAAATCTTTAAAAAAAAAAAAGTACCATCTTTTAGCCAGCGTCCGCTAATGTTACAAAAGGCATTTTGTGAGTTGCTTATAGTTCTGGAAGCTGCTCTTTACAATGTCCTCGTGCCTCTTAGGGTTGGAGGCAGCAAGTAAAGGTGAACTTCAGAGGAAATCACAGTTAGTCAAGCTGCCTTAACATAAAAGTGGTTATGAGGGCCCTTGGGTTTGATGATGACAAACACCTGTCCTGGTTCGCTCTGATTTAGCAGCGGCGGGGCCTGGGGCAATGAGCAGCGGCTGCAGAGCTGAGGGATCTGGGCTCCAGCCCTGGCTGTGCCAGTGACCCAGGGAGTATCCGCGTGCCATCCCTTGCCCTCGCAGGACCCGTTTCCTAATTTGTAAGAAGGAGATAATGTCTGTCGTTCAGGGGGATGATGAGGACCACACAGTAACAGGGGAGAGTGCTTAAGTCGTGCTGAAGTGGATGATTTTATCAGTTCCGTGATGGCTTTTTAAATGGTAGGGTGATTATCCATGCCAGGGGTTCTTATCAGAAATTGCTACTTAGTCAACATTGAATAATGCAGAAAAAGTAGCAGTCAACTTCTGTGCTCCAGGATTGCCTTCTGCTGTGATTCAGACATTCTCACACTCCGAACCTTAGCATATGCTTTGACCATAGGTCATGAAGGCAGGAAGGTGAGGCTGAAGTGGATGTGGTGGGGAGGGCAGTAGCCAGATAGGTGGTCCCGAGGGCCAGGTCAGAAGGGAAGGAAGGTGTAAGCAGGCAAATCAAACTACCCACATAGATACTTTAGAGCCCTCGTATTCACCATTCCTCATAAGAGATGATTTGTTTGTCACATATTCTTATGGAGCACGTAGCCTGTGCAGGATAGTGAGCCGGAAACGTTGAGGACACAAATTTGCCTTCTAGGAGTTTACTATTAAATGAAGCAGTATAGGAGGTGCCAGGAGAGAGCACATTTTGAGTGGGAACAAACAGGGAACACAGGGAAGGAAGTGATTGTTGAGTTGAGCCATCAAGATGCGCAGAATTCTATCAGCTGTGGCCAGTATGTTGGAAACTGCCATTTAAAGCTTTGTATGTGTGTGTTAATTCAAACATGTAGTCAAATCTTCCCTTTGGATGGGGTGAAGTCATAGTTAGAGAGCTTCTCAGCAGCTCTCCTGGACTGGTGGGTTCTTGTGGGGCTTGTGCAGGGAGTTGGGGGTTGAGGCCTAGGAACCGAGTGCTGTTAAGATTTCTGGTTCCTCCTGGGTCGGTTGATTGAGGTGGGAGGAAGTAGCAGCCAAAAAGGAAGGTGGCAGTGAGAGTGGCTCCTTTAGAAAGTGACTCCTGCACTCCTACTTAAAAGTTGGGGAGGGTAGGACAATCATGTGGATTCATACTAGGAGTTTTATATTGTTTTCAAGCTTTAATGTGTCTGAAATTACTATAAAATGAAGTGTCCTGTCAGAAATAGGAGACCATCTTTAGACTAAAATTAGAACAAGAAACTAGAAATCATGTGGTGTCTTGGGGATGAAGTGTGAGGAACAGTGGAAATGGAGGACTAGGTGAGGAAATGTGGGCATGCCAGTCACCTTCTGAGAAAACTCAAGAAAAGCATAATTTGCAAAATATCTTCATTTACGGGATGATGCTGAGCTCACTTCATGAAGGTAATTTTTCAGCACAGGGCTGTGTGTTCTCTGTCTTCAGGGAACCATGATAAATGTGGGGGGGCATGTAGATGAATCAAGAGTCCTTTCCCGTACAGAACCCCATCTTGTAGAGGGAGATGTGACTGAGCTTCTGTGATGAATGATGTAATAGAAAGGTGAACAAAGTGCTGAGGAAATTAGGTATATCCTCACTTGGAGATGCACAGAATTTTGCTTGAGAAGATGTCACACACAGAAGGTGGAAGAATGGCTTTCCAGGCAGAGAGAAAGTGGAGTGCAGAAGCTCTCAAACCCAAAATGTTGTGGTGTGGTGCTGGAATATAGCGCTCTCTGGAAGAAGTGACTGGAATGCAGGCTGCTTGTAGGGCAGGAGTAGGAAAGTCTGCTTGAGCTTTGTTCTGGAAGAAATGAGGACCCATCACAGGTTTTGCGAGGGAGAATAACATCTGCAGGACTGTGTGTTTGAAAGAGGGAGAATAACATCTGCAGGACTGTGTGTTTGAAAGAGAATAACATCTGCAGGACTGTGGTAGTGAGGAGAACGAGTGGAGGAGGGGTGCCTTGAGGCTATTTGAGGGCGGTTGCAAGAGTCCAGGGGAGAGGGGCGCCTGGGTGGCTCAGTCGTTAAGCGTCTGCCTTCGGCTCAGGTCATGATCATGATCCCAGGGTCCTGGGATCGAGCCCCGCGTCGGGCTCCCTGCTCGGCGGGAAGCCTGCTTCTCCCTCTCCCACTCCCCCTGCGTGTGTTCCCTCTCTCGCTGTGTCTCTCTCTGTCCAATAAAAAAGAAGAGTCCAGGGGAGAGACAGCGAAGACCTGGGATCTTGAGGTGGGGGTGCAGAGGAGGTGGTTCCAGAGCTTGGTACTTCTCCTAAACTCGAAATCTCTCTTTCAAAGTTCATATCAGATTGAGTTTATTAAGAAAAAGAAGATGCTTTTGACAAACACAAATCTTCATCGACCCTTATTGATACTGTTGGTCCAGGATGAGGTTTCCCTGTTTCGAGGAATGGAGCCATACCGGAAGTTGAGAGTGGTAGGAAGGGGGGATGGGGTAAGGGTAGCGAGATGTGTGGAGACACCTGCTTCTCTGGCCCAGTTTGGTTATAGCCAAGCCTGTTCTGGTGCTCTTCCACATCTCCCCTTTCTCTTCTGCTGGTTCCTTTTCTTCCTCATCTACAAAAAGAGACATTTTCCTAAGTTCTTCCATACTGGTTTTTTTTTTCCCCCTATCCTATCCACACATTTCTAGCCCTAATGTTTCTACTTTTCACTTGTGCAAATGACTTCAAACCTGTTTGCTCTGTAAAGTGGGACAAATTACCTGCCTCATATTGTCATGAGACTTACGTGAGACAGTTCGTAAGAAACACGGCCTAAGGGCTTGAAACAAACTAAGCACTTGGTAAATAAGCATCTAGCATGTTTTTATATGCTTATGGAATTCTGCCATATTTTATATTGATGTAGAGTTAAACCCTTCTTTCTTGAGTTCTTTAAGGGTTCTGGTATTCTTTTTAGATCTTAAGCATTTAGCATTGTACTTGCTCCAGTAAGAGTTCAAAATTTGGTCTTCCTTCCTTTTGTTTGCCACGATGATATTTTGGACTCATCAGTAGGGCACGGGACTGGCCTTTCTTAGGGATGGACGGATGCTTGGAACCAGGGGTGTCGTTTATGAAATTGCTGATTGGAACTCGTGGCTGCGGAAGAAAAGAGCATACTGACATTCCTGCCCCATGTGACCATATCCCTGCTACACACATATCTTGTGTTCATTAGAGGAACAATGTAACAAACTGGAAACCAAATTGATTTTATAGTTATCATAATTAAAGTTCAGGATTGAAGAAGGAAAAGGAATTCCTTGTTATGAGAAAGGAATGTTGTCATGAAAATTGACGGCTAAGAGTTGGCTGATGTGACAGGTGAGCGCCTGCTGTTGAGACTCTGGGCAGAGGAAATGCACTCAGGAAATGGGGAGGCCATGTTCTCTATAGAAAAGCAAAGCTGAATTGTGGAAGTTTATAAACTAGGTTTGTGTTGGAATAGAGTGTGGGCTTGAAAACTTCTCACTTGATGGCTCCTTTGTTTTGTTCTTTTGGATGCCTGTTGACCAGGAAAGTTAGTCTCACAAAGGCCAAGAAATATGTGAAGGAGGAATCTCAGAGTTTGGCATCTATAAAATAGGGTTTGCATTGGATGAGAAGCTTTAATTCCCTTTAGGAGTGGGAAAACACATGTCCTTGTAGATTATTTGTTAAACCTCAGAATTTCCAGGAAGGTCCGAGCTGAGCCACTGGGCCAATTCTACAAGCTTGTTAAGGAAAGTTGTTGCAAGTGGACCGTGCTCGAATTGATTTGAGACTGTCTAAATTCTATGGCATCATGTCTATGAACTACGGCTGTTCTCATTCTATGTAGTAATTTTAACCCATACTGCATTTTTTTTTTTTGCTAGCAATGACATATTGTAATAACGCAAAGGCAAATCTTTCTATGCCTGATGTTTTCAATACCCCTGTCTTTCAGGGTCCAATGTTGAATTGCATGAGTTTTTTTTTCTAGTTGTTGTCTCAGGTGTTTATTTGATGAATCCTGCCCTCAGGAGTAATGTGACACTCTCCTCTATTTTTAGCTATCGTGGATGATGAAAGGCTCTCTGCAGAGGAGATGGATGAGAGGAGACGGCAGAACATCGCTTATGAATATCTGTGCCACCTAGAGGAAGCCAAAAGGTAAGATCCCAACACAGTCTACTTGCGCACCTTCTCTTAGATGCTCTTTGGGGTCCTATGCTTTTAACAACTCATTTGCAGTCTTGTTGGTAGCAGTGTAGCAGGAGAAGAACCACCTGTTTTTTCTGGTAAATGGTCAGGCGAATTGAGAGAAATTTGCTGCCACAACCAGGGTCAAGGCACTAGGGAAGCAGCTAGTCCTTCTTCCTCAGATTCTCCCAGGAAATCTCTGGCCAAAGAGCAGATTTTTTTCAAATTCCTCATCTCACTGGTTTGGATGTGGGAGAGCAGCAAAGACAGTGATTCAGCAATTCTATACGTTACGCAGGGCTCAACGCAATAAGTATACTTTAATCATGTTCACCCAGAGCGTCCTCAGATATTTTTCTCACCCCCACCCCAATAATTATAAATGCCCTATAGGATGGTATCATTTGGGACTGAAGTCCATCGGTCACTAGGTTAGAGAGTAGGTTTATGACTGCAATCTCCATTTTAACCCATGGGTGTGTGACCACTTTAGGATATGTTGTCTCTAAAATCATATTGACTCTTGAAGACTTTTTAGATTATAAGTAAATGTTGGTTTCTCTGAGGAGAAAGTGAAGATAAACTAATTTGTACTTAGGACTCTGTGTCAGAGGAATCGGAAGGACTTTGTCCTGTGCTGGGTGAATACTGCTACAGTGCTCATATGCCATGAGTTACATTCTCATTTAGTGCTTCCTGCTGTGATTGAACAACAGTATTGTTCCATGGACAGATTATATGTTCCAGCTTTCTTAAGTATATAGAAAATATTTAGGTAATGGTCATTGGTATTAATTATCTCTAATCACTGATAAATAGCTATCTACAGAGCTAGAAGAATGAAGTTTTTTTTAAATTATGTTCAGTTAGCCAACGTAGAGCAGTACATCATTAGTTGTTTTGTTTTTGTTTTTTCTTTTTATTAACATATAATGTATTATTTGTTTCAGGGGTACAGGTCTATGATTCATCAGTCTTACACAGCACACTTACACTTACCATAGCACATACCTTCCCCAGTGTACATCATTAGTTTTTGATGTAGTGTTCAACAATTCATTAGTTGCAAAGAATGAGGTTTTAAATCAGTGTTGTGTAGAAGAACATTCAGGGACACATGAGCTAATTTGGCCTCAAAATTGCATGAAAGGGGATTTCTCTGGGTTTTTTAATATTTTACCAGTATCTTATAGATCTAAGCTCTGAAGACTACTTTTAGAGGTTATTAAGTATGTGAAGCTGACAGGCTGCAGGTCACTGAAGACCCAATATTGGTAAGGTTATGAAAAAATGCTTTTAGTCAAGTTGTTGATAACAAAGATAAGGAGAGTGATTCATAAACATTCAAAATAAACATGCTTTCAGAGAAAATGTTGAGGGAGAGTTACTGGAAATTTTCTTCTTAAACACACTTTGTGTTCTAAGTTTTTGCCTCTTGTTTTTTCTAAGTGAGAAGCAGTGTCACACAGAGGAGATGTGTGACTGGGTGTCAGTGGACTGGATTTCCTGGTCCCAACATTACCACTTAGGAGCTCTGTGACCTTGGGCAGGTCATCTAACCTGTGGGAAATTCAGTTTTGTCTCCACTCTAATGGGATGATAAATATGTTAGTGCAGTAAGGAGTTATCATTGTGTCATAAAATAAAAATGCTTAAATTAAAAAATCTGTTAGTGTCGCCTGCCCTACATCCTGGGGCTTCCCCCCCAAAAAAATCAACTAAAATCAAAAAGGCGTAAGTGTTCTACAAACTCGAGTACCAGTCAGGTATATGGTGATAAGCCTAGTTTTCTCCTGAATGTTTCAAATGTATCAATACAGCTTGGAAGCTTGTCATATTCTTTAACATTTTCAAAATTTTGTGGTTGAATTTTGTTTTAGAAAAGTCCACAATTGGTCCAGGTTCTTTGCAGAAAGTTTAAGAATAGTTTTTTTTTTTTAAGATTTTTATTTATTTATTTGTCAGAGAGAGAGAGAGAGAGAGCGCGCGCGCACAAGTAGGGGGAGCAGTAGAGGCAGAGGGAGAAGCAGGCTCCTCACTGAGCAAGGAGCCCGAGGTGGGACTTGATCCCAGGACCCTGGGATCATGACCTGAGCCGAAGGCAGACGCTTAACAACGGAGCCACCCAGGCATCCCAAGAATAGTTTTATTGAAAGAAAACACTATAAAATACACAACTTTTCCTATAAGATGGTTTTATAATTTTTTTTTACAAGAAGAGATCAGATGTAATATGTATTTATGAATCTTATTAATATCTGGACTTTTTTGTGACTTGCAGGGAACCTGATTCTTGGTCATGGAGTCTGTAAAAAATTATGTGGTCATTAATACATATGTGCATTATGTGAACTATGTATGTGAACTATGATTTCAGAAAGCATAATGTATAGAACTCTGATGGTCCTGAACTCAAGAAATGAGTGGATTAGTCTCTGTTCAAAAATTTGAGAGGGTTTGGCACATGATTGTTTTACAATGCTCATACCTTCGGAATTTGTTATAGTGGATTTATTATAGTGGGTGCATGTGCATGTGTTAATGTAAGGGTGGTTGGCTGTTTCTTGTTTCTTAATTCAGTTGAACCGACTTTAGTGTATTTTAACTAAAAATGTGTGGGTTCTTTCTTTGTACCTCTCTTTTTTCATTCCAGAGGTGAGAGCTGGAAGGATATGTTTGTATGTCCTGTAACTCAGAATTTGTAAAAACTCAAAATTGTAATAGTCCATTATATATTTAATTTTGCTTTTATTAATTTCAAAATTCTATGATAATTATTAAACCATTTAAAAGTTACTTCATTCAGAGGAAATACCAGTACTAACACAAAAAGGACGATGGACTACTATGAACAATTATAAGCCAACAAATATGTTTAAGATAACCTAGATGAAGTGGACAAATTCCTAGAAAGATATAAACCATCAAACTGACTCAGAAAGAAATAAAAAGTTTGAATAGACTTATAACAAGCAAAAAGATTGAGTTAGTAATCAAAATATTGCCCCATTTTTCCAAAAAATATTAGAGGAGGGAACACTTCCAACCTCATTCTACGAAGACCAGTCAGTATTGCTTTGATACCACAGCCAGACAAAGGTAGCTCAAAAGAAAATGATAGACCAATATCCCTATGAATACAAATACAAAAATCCTCAACAAAATAGTAGTAAACCAAGGCCAGTAACATATGTAAAGCATTATATGCCACTAAGTGGGATTTATCCTAAAAATGAAAGTTTAGTTTAACTCAAAAATCAGTCAAGACAATTCAGTGAAGAAAAAACTGTCTTTTCTACAAATAATCCTGACACAACTGGTAATACACATAAAAATTAATTTGGATCCCTATCTCATGCATAATCTAATCTAAATGTGAGAACCACAACTACAAAACTCCTAAAGGAAAACAGGAGCAAATCTTTGTGATTTTGGGTTAAGCAATGGGTTCTGAGACTTGACACCAAAAGCACAAGCAAAAAAGAAAATAGATAAATTAGCATCATAAAAATTAAGTCTTTTTTTTGATTCAAAGGATATCATCAAAAAAGTGAAAAGTCAACCCACAAAATGGGAAAAAATATTTGCGAATCATATATCTGATAAAAGATTTGTATCCAGAGTAGATAAAGAACTCTTATAACTCAACATAAAAAGTAAAAACCTAATTTTGAAGTGGACAAGGGTTCTAAATAGACATTTCACCAAATAAGATACAAATGTACAATTAGAACAGGGCAGGGTGATCATCAAGACAGTATGGTACTGGCACAAAAACAGACACACAGATCAATGGAACAGAATAGAGAGCCCAGAAATTGACCCTCAACTCTATGGTCAACTTATCTTTGACAAAGCAGGAAAGAATATCCAATGGAAAAAAGACAGTCTCTTCAACAAATGGTGTTGGGAAAATTGGACAGCCACATGCAGAAGAATGAAACTGGACCATTTCCTTACACCACACACAAAAATAGACTCCAAATGGTTGAAAGACCTAAACGTGAGACAGGAGTCCATCCAAATCCTAAAGGAGAACACAGGTAGCAACCTCTTCGACCTCAGCCGCAGCAACTTCTTCCTAGAAACATCGCCAAAGGCACGGGAAGCCAGGGCCAAAATGAACTATTGGGATTTCATCAAGATAAAAAGCTTTTGCACAGCAAAAGAAACAGTCCACAA